ATAATGCTACCCAACTTGCCAGCTAGCTCCAGAAACATGAGCAATGGGATGACCGGCAAAACCAAATACATAATTCACAGTGGGATTGTGAAGATGGGTCAGACAATTTCTAGAATTCTCTGACACGGACAATCTTTTACTTTACTCCATCACATCCGTGTGCGTTATGGAGAACAACAGCGTGAATTAATGTGAGTCTGACCTTAAAAAGGTGCACCCTCACCCTGATTTGTATGACTCATCGTGTCAAGGCTAGAAGACAGAGTTCTTGGAGATGGTGCTTTTGGGTGTGGCCATTTGGAACAAGTAAACACTTTATACTTTTATGCCTACCATACCTTTATGCATTCTGAGGACACGTCTTACTGTCCGCCAGTGTACTGAATTCTTCGGTATTTGCAGAACATTAATTGCATGCGTAATCCAAAATCGGGGTGACTAATTAACCAAGTTACTCTCAGTGTTATTGCATCATTAACAGCTACAGTAAGAATGTATGTGTGTGGGCATGTATCTGAGAAATATGGACTGGTGGCTAATCCATGGTGCAGTGTTTGAGAGCATTAAGAAGAAACTTTTAAGACTAATCAGCAGAATACTTGCTGAGGCTGTGTGCTGTGTTGGTGCAGTCCAGCCCCAATATGTCTCGGTGTAAAAAAAACTGCACAGGAAATTCACTATATGTAGCAGCAATACAATAACCATTTATATTAGGACTGCAACTTACTAAAGGCCTGTCAGTTCCTCATTGGGCTAAAAAATAACAGTGATTTATAGAGCCATCTCACCTGCAATCTGGAGCATGATTCTGGTAACAAAAATAAATAAATAAAGGAATAAAAAAAAATTTAAAAAAAGACTTGTGAGCGGTACATAAGCACACATTAATGTGCATGTCATGGGCATATTAGGGGCAGACCAATAAACTGGGCTGATTTTACACAACATTGAAATGTTGCCTCTCTCTTTGAACCGGCAAAAATAAAACGCTTGGGATAACTTGGAATATTTTGTCCTGAAAATGTTAAACATCACAAACTAAATGATCAGACAAACCCTCCTATAGAAGAAGAAAAATATTGGTCCTAACATTTTAATCCTGTACTCTGTCTGACCTTATTACAACAAGATGAAAAAATCCCAGCAATCCCAGTGGAGTAAGGTAAAAAGCATTACAAGGAACATGAAATTAATTTGTCTGAGGAATTGACAGCATCTTAAAATGGGGGGCAATTTTCTTTTTTAGCTTTCAGTGGCTTTGGAGAAAATTAATACAACCAGTTGAACTTGGCATGCTGTTGTAAAATTCCCAGTTTTAAGACTCAGAGGAATAAGTGAATTAAAATGCATACCTCTACCCCTCAGACATTACAGTGGTCATTTCACAGCCAATTACATTAGACATTCACCGTACACATTTTGGATTTAAACTGTTTCAGTCCACTGCAACAACTGGAACTAACGTCCAAGAGGAACTTAAGGACATCTATGCAAATTAGATTATTCTGAGGTGAAGAAAAGGTCATTTTGATTCTCAAAGATCCGGACACAAGTATGTGACTATAATTCATTAATCACTGAACCTTTTTGCATAGTCCAGTTTCTTATGTTGGGTTAGGGTCTATTCCAGACAATATATATTATATAATATTCAATAGTTTTCTTTCCCTTCGTCTGCCTCCTCATGTTTTGTTGTTGCACGTGCATTCATTTCCAATTCTTTACAAAACACTCTCGAACAACCATTCAGTTTGCTTTCCATCCCATTATACTGCATTAGACAGAAAGGGGCCCATGACAACTGAGCATTTGAAGTATGTGAGCTGATCAGATGACCTGAAGTAGCAGCTCCAGCGCTATGGCTGATAAACTGAATTTAATTATTGCCTATGCCCACAGCGCTCCTCAAAAGGTCCAAAAATATTTTACTGAATTTTTGTGTGAAACATGTCTGTTTTTAAACCTCATATAGCTCCTTTTAATATACTTCTAGATACAGCAGACAATTATTTCACGAATGAGCAGATCTTTGTCACTTGTGGAATGCAAAGAAGATTTACTATCAAACTAAACGGTTATTTCTGCAGTTACTGAGTTTTGTGTTGAGGGCTGAAGCTCCAGGGCTCTTGAGGGGCTGGGAGTGAGTTGGGGGTCGCAGTCTGTCAGGATAGTCAGCCTGTGGCCTCTCTGAGGCACGCGCATGTTGTGGATCAGAACAGGGTGATGGCATCTCTGCCCAGCGCTGTGGGGAGCTTAGAGGGGCATCAGCCTGGTGGTGTGGAACAGGAGAGGGTTCAGGTCCTCTGCATGGACGGCCCGGTGGAGCGACGGCTCTGAGCGACTCCGCTCGATTTTTGGCAGTAGGTCTTGAACCTGTTCAATTGCTACCAGGATCTGATGAAAGAAAACCAAATGTAAAGGCAGCTGTCAATATGAAATTTCCCCCAAAAAACTGCACTGATAGCTTATATAGAACACTACGTTCTCTGAATGCAGGGCTACTGTTGGTTCCTACCAGTCTCTAAAAGTAGCGAGGGAGCCAGAGCCTTCAGTTACCAGCTCCTCTCCTGTGGAACAGCTTCCAGTTTTGGTTCAGGAAGGGCAGAGACCCTCTCCCGCACATTTAAGAGTAGCTTAAGATGTTCCTCGTTTGATAAAGCTTATAGTAAGGGCTGGATCAGGTGACGCCTGAACCATCCCTTTAGTTATGCTGCTATATCAGCTAGACTATCGGGGGATTTCCATGGTGCACTGAGCTCCTCTCTTCCTCTCTCTCTCTTTCTGCACTCATTTCATTATGCCCATTAATGCCATGTTACTAACTTCACTTTCTCCCCGGAGTTCGGTTAGTAGCTTTTATCGTCCTGCAGGTTTCTCATGGATCCTTGGTGGGAGCCTCCTGCCATGGTCTGCTGGATTGCCATTATCAATACTGTTGTTGCTGTGCACCTGTCTGTTTGTCTCCTCTTGTCCTCTTCTCTCACCCCAAACTGGTCGAGGCAGATGACAACCCACCTAGAGCCGAAGGGTCTGTCCGAGGTTCGTGCCTCTTAAAAGGCAGTTTTTCCTTGCCCCTGTCGCCAAGTGCTGCTCATGGTGGTACTGTTGGGTCTCCTGTAAATGCTATATAAGGAGTTCGGTCTAGACCTGCTCTATTTGAAAAGCATGTGCCTGAGTTATGAATTGGGCGCTATACAAATAAAATTGAATGGAATTGAAATTATATCTGGACGGCATTAGAATAATAACAGTATGGAACTCTGCCAGACAACAGCAAATAATAAAAAGTAGACAATAGTCATACCAGTCCTCTACAGAAAACAAAAATGAATGACCTGGATTAAAGTCACTGTGTGAGAATTGAAGATTTCTGACTTTGTGGTATGGTTTAAAAGTGTCAGGGGAAACACTTGATCAATTATAACATATTAACAGAATTTATTGGACCCCAAGTGAAATATCAACATTAGGAGACAAAGAGGCTCTGACCTGGTGTTGAACATGATGTGATACTACTTGTGACAGTCTCTTAGACATGTTTGTATTCACGCTCTATGGTGCATCTTCTATGTTCCAAGATGATCTCCTTCATTGATACAGTGACGGCCTTCTGCGCTAGTACCAATGCTTTCCCTTATTAAGGCTTAGTGTATTTTGCTGTGATATTTTGATCTATGTCATATGATACACATTATTGCTTGGTGTGTGTGTCTTTTTG